ATTACATATATATTATACCAACCCTCTGAGTGCAGTCTGGAGGATGCTGGACTTCAGGGACAGATCAAGGACAGAAGTCCAGATAAGCCACATCTCCCCTCCAGGCACACAAATTCCCTGTCTCAGAGATACAGCCAAACAGCTCGAGTCTGTCCTTGTGTCTGTCTTGCTCCTGTTCCACTGCTTATTTCTTATCTCTCAGGCACTCGGCTGGACCATTTTGTTGATCCTTATCATAGCAGCTTTCCTCGCCCGCTGGCTCAGACCTTGCTTCAACCAGGCCACCCTCCTGCAGGCACGTCACTGGAGCAACTACATTGACATCGAGCAAAAGATTTTTGAGGAAACCTGTTGTGAGCACAGCCGGCTCTTTGCTCACAGATGTATCCTCCACTTCTTCAAAAGCATGCAGGAAGAGATCAAACGACACAGCTTCAGCTTGCCCAGGGAGGAAGAGGAGACTGAAGGAGAGGAAGACCTTCTGTGGGGCATCACAGATCAGGACCAGGTGAATAAACTTCTAAAAATGTGGTACTGTGAGAAACCTCCCTTGGATGTCAGCCAGGCAACCCAGAGGCATTCCCTGGGGCAAGAGAGATCCCCCCCACCCTGGGCAGACAGACTTGGTACCCAGTCCAAATTCCCCCAGCACACCAATGTGTAAAGGGGTCTTTGTCCTGCCGTCACCAAAGGGGCACTGCCATGCCTCTGCACAATGCAATGTCCAGCAGAGAGATGACAGCACTGCTCACATCTTCCTCCATAACCCCAACCTCAAAGGCTCAGCTGCAGAGCAGACCTAGCAAAACCTCCAAAATAAACTGGCAATGCTCAGCTCTGAAGATCCAAAGGGCCCAGACTCAGTCACTGTTAATGCTGCTCCTCATCCAAGGGCTCTGTGAGCACTTTTGTCATATTGAAGAGTTCAGCTTCTTACAGGTGTGATAAAACCCTTCTGGCTAGAGGAAGGATTTAACCACATCTGGCTGCATATGAAACCAACAGGAGCAGCAGCTTCATAGAGGTGTGAGGAGCTCCTGCCCTTCTCAGTGAAACCTGAGAGTTAGCACTGCTGATACCTAAATTATTTAATTGGCAACTCTTCTGGTACCACACCAACTTGTTTACTCAAAAAGGCAAAACCACTCCTACGTCTTCCCATCTGCTGAGAGCTCTGGCTGCCCCCAGCCCAGCTGCCAAACCATTCGCCCTCCCTTGAACAACCCATCAATACTTCCATGCATTTCCAAAACAAAATATGGCAGCACACTGCTATTCATGGAGCAGCATAAATTGAATTGAAGATACCTCTGGATTGGGCCAGATTTCCAGAAGGAAAAGGAGACAGAGACTTTTCTTAACATATTCAGAGCCACGGGACTCTGCTGGGGTTCAGGTGGCTGCTGTAAGCACCAACAATGGGCCATGGAAAGGACACACTGGCTCTGCCTGAGAAGGCTCACCCCAAATTTTAAACACTCCCCTGCTAGATTTTAGCACAAGCCAGTCTATCCAGAGGCTCATCCTTGCATCACCTAGTTATGCATTTCCATCCTTAGTTTCAATACCATTTGAATGTAACCTTATCTCTGGGACTTGAATGCTAATTCCTTTCTTATCTGCCTTTTCCCAGCCTCTATTGTAGATGGTGCCAACCATGGTGAACATTTGCCTGATATTTCTGTCCAGCTCTGCTGCTTGACTGCATTAAACTCTTTACAGCAAACTAACCCAGTGCAGATACATATGTTCCTCCAGGCTGAGGCTCACACTGGCACCCACTTTGTCCCTGGGAGTGAGCAGTGCAAGGTGGAGTGAGGGGTGGGGAGGTGAAGAAAAAAATGTGTCCTCAGCTGTGTATGGACAGATGGGGCAAGCAGGGCCTCCAGGAGGAAAGAAGAGGCAGGAAAGGGGCAAAGAGACCTGTCACCACTAAAACACAAGAGTTGAATTGAAAACACATATTAATCCCCCAGATTAACTCATTAAACTGCTGGGAAGTGGGTCATCTCCTCTACAGGACGTTTGTGCACAGGGTCAGAGAGGAAGGAGATGTTTGGCAAAACAGAGGGAGGCCACATAACTCCATGGCCCATCTGTGGGCAGCTGCACCCATCTGCCAGCTGAGGACCAGCCAGGAGCTGTGGGGTGCAGAGGGATGGGCTGCAGAGCATTTCTTATTTGCATAGCAAAATCAGCTCTGGCTGAAACCCTGAGCTACCCTGGACTTGCTCAGAGAGAGCTCAATGCCAGCTGTGGCCTGTGCTGGTATCCTGGTGTGCATCAGAAGAGGTGTGGTGAGTAGGTCAAGAGAGGTTCTCCTTCCCCTCTACTCTGCTCTGGTGAGACTGCATCTGGAATATTGTGTCTAGGTCTGGGCCCCTCAGTTCAAGAAGGGCAGGGAATTGCTTGAAAGAGGCAGGGGGGTTGGACTGGGTGATCTTTTGAGGTCCCTTCCGTTTCCTAATATTCTGTGTGATTATGTGAAAAAACACGGTGATCTTCCCACCACAAGCTCTTTAGGTCCAGGGAGCTTCTGAGCTCTCTTTTGAAACCAGCGTTGCACTTTGAATTTCATCTCTGGTTTACTTTTATCGGACATGACATCACAAATCTCAGGCTGAAATTCAGTTCAGACTCACCACTCCATGCTAGTCAAATCAGCTGTTTTCCCAACCCGCTCAGAGTAGAGGTCCGCAGTTCCTCTTTGCATGCTGCTTTCCATATTCTCCGGTTTTAAGTCATCCCAGCATGGCCAGAAAATAAGAAATGCAAAAAAGTGGAAGAGGAAGAGCTTTGATATCTGTATCAGGAGGAAGAAAACCGGAGGATTTAAGGGCACCGTCATAGATTTTTGCAGGTCTACAAAGGCTCACATGCTGCTAGAAGGGTCAGTCTGGTCACGAGGTAGCTCCAGTTGGATGAGGCCATGGGTGTTTATCACTCCCAGCCTCACCGGGTCCTGTGCTGTGTTCCCCTTTGAAGCTAGAGAAGAACTCTTCTCCACAGTGGTAAATGGTATCTGGCACCCCATGGTGGGGCAAGTGGCAGCAGGCACAAACCCAAACTGCAGGGAATTCCATTTAAACAAAGGAAAACACTTATCTACTTTGAGGCTGCCCAGAGAGATTGTGGCACCTCCATCGATGGAGATACCCACAACCTGACTAGATGTGTTCGTGAGCATGCTTTGAGCAGGTGACTGACCAGACAATCTCCAGAGGTCCCTTTCCACCACAGTAGGAATGTGCACCCTCCTCAGGGCAGGTCTGATGCTTGACCTACAGACGTGTCTGACATCCTCAGGGATCCTCACCTGCCAAGACCCCATGAAACAGCAGGGGTGACTGCAAAGACAACTTCCCAATCTCTTCCCAAACTTTCCTAATGTGAACTGTGATCATGTTCCTTCCCTCCTCTCTATATCCTGCATTGACTTGGACATGCAAAGCCCCTCTGACTCCCTGTCTTGGGGTCTGTCTTGGCATCCAGGTTGCAGGACCCCACGCAGAGGTATCACCTTTCCCAGGAGCTGATTTCCAAAACATAAGGAGGATTGTAAGAGGAATCATCTCCTCTGCCTTCTCTTGCAAATTAGCTGGAGTGAGCTTTCTGCTGGCAAGCTCACCAAAGCAAGGTCCTCCCTAACACAGCAATTTGGAAAGAAAGACCCAGGCATTGGCTTCTACAAGCTCTGTTTTGAATCCCACTGACTTATGATTGGCCTTAATGAGAAATGCCAGTGCTGTACACCAAGCAAGCTCAGACCCCTCATTCATGTTTAATGAAAGGCAGAGTTTTCCCGGAGATCAAAAAGCTCTCTGCTTTTTAGGAGGTTGATTCATGCAGGCTTTGATGTGAACTGCCCTTCAAAAAGCCAGGTGAACAGGGAAGCCAGCCTGAGCTCTTAGCCAGCACTACACTAAGCCTCATCTCTATTCATGCATACAAATCTCTTCCCTTTTGATGAGATCACGCAATTAACCTCTCCGCAGCAGCCAGAGCTAAGACCGTCCAACTATGACCCACATGCTTTGAGCTCAGCTCTGTGGTGGCATCTCAGGGTGAACTTGGCATTATCAGCTGAGTCCCAGCGCTGCTGTGGGGGGAGACATCAGAAACAGCAGTGCTGACTAATGGTCAAAACACCTAGTTTGGCTGCTACCTCTGCGAGTGACGCACTACAAAACCTTGAGGAAAGGTGTCTCCTGCATGCCACCCACCTATGTACAGCTTCACTTGGTGACACGTCTCACAGCCACCAATGCAGCCGTGCTGGTGCCCAGAGAGTCAAAACTATCTTGATACTCATGTCAACAGCACAGGTGAGGCTGAGGAGGGACTGAACACCTTGCTGGTGTTCCCCAATACTGCAATCATCTGTTTTATGGCCACTGGTAGTCCCAATATTCCTCCATCTTTTGGCCAGCTTGAGGGAGCAATCCAGCACATCAAGGCTGGGAAGTGGGAATAGAGATGCAGGAGAGCGCCAGCAACACAATCCACTTCTTTTAGGTTTGTGCTGTAGGAGCTAAGCCTGGCCCAACCACAGCTATCACATCTCATTAGTGTTTGTCTCTGTTCTGGTCAGCTGGGGAGGAGTCTATCTGGTTGGCTCTGCACTGGCAAATGTGCACAGAATCTTGGCACTGGAGAACCCCCAGGTCTGTAGAGCTGACAGCAACGAGCTGAGTGAATGGGGAGAGGGATGGAAATGATGGGGAAGCTTTGTGCCTCAGCACCAACACATGGGACATGTCTACCACAGATCTGAGCTGGCTCTGCCCTAGCTGCTCCTGGTGCACAAAGAGCAGGGAGGGCAATGCAGGTATTCAGGTTCGCTTGGGTCCAGATCACCTGGTGTTGCTGCTGAATTAACAAGCCCAAGTAAAATGGTGTGGCTAAACTGTCAGCAACTCTGTGCTGTACAGACCAGCAAACCCAGCACCAGGCTTGCTCAGTCCTCCCTGCACTGGTCACACATGAAGGGTGCCCTTAGACATGTTAGCCTCAGGTCAAGGCATATGGCCAAATCCCAACCCCTCCTGCTAAACAGATGCATGTTGCTGGCTCAGGTAGCCTTTGCTCTGCCCTTCCTGGCAGGACTTGAGTCATCTCCAGATGAGCAGAAGCTCCACTGCACCCTCAGCCCCCAAGGCTGCTGGTACCCGGTGGCCTCAGGGCAGGAAGGTTCAGCACAGCCCATGCCTGTGGGTGATGTGGTACTGTTGGGAAACACAGTCCCTTGGTCCCTCAGGGGACAGTAGCTGCCCTTGGGCCAGGGAAGTCACTGGCAGGATTTACACATCCTCCTTGTATTCCCAGTTTCTGCACATCCCAAATTTATCAAAGGCCTGGGATTATACCCATGAGAGACAGCTGCAAGAAAATTGTTCAGTCTCCATCGCTGCTATTCAGAGTAAAGTGCACTCAAGCCCTTCAGAAATGCTCATGGAAAGTGGGTGAAAAGAAATCTCAGGGGAGAAACTAAATCTCAGAGCTTTGTTGTGCAGGGAGTATCTCCTGAGGAAGCAGAGGTACCCAGGCTTTAGAGGCTTTCAGCAGACAGAGCAGGGTTTGTCCTCTGCACCCCTGCCCCTGCAGCCCTCGCTTCTTTCTCTGTCTATTCTTCTCCAACCCTAAAGCCAGAAAAAGCACTAAGTGCCTCTGGATGTCACCAGAGTATGCAAGCCAGAGTTTGAAGGATACTTTAGCAAGCCACAGGGGCACATGGCTATGAAAACCAAGGAGCTACAAACATAATCTTGTAAGTCTGGCTGAAACACAGACATCTGTAGGATGAAGGAGAAAGAATAAAAAATTTCGGCAGTACAGATACGATACCCCAGAGCATCAAGAGGTTTATCCCTCCTCCCTCTGCCTTTTCTTTTCTCTTCCTTTCCCTCTGCAAAATAAAACAGAGAAAAGGCACTTCCCAGTGAAGTAGGTACAGAGCAGGGGCCTGGCAGATGTTTGAGGCACCTGCACTAGATGCTGCGAGGGCGATGCAGACATGGAGCAAGGGGGGAAGCTCTGGTGCCTTGCTTTTCCCTGTGTGCTGGCATCGCAGAGGTGGGGCATCTCATTTGGTCCTGGGAGGAGCACCCATTGCCTGCATTTGCAAACAGGTTCACTGAGGCCAAGCAGTCAACTCCCCTTTCTACCCAGGGCACAGATTGCTCTGAGGAGGCCACAGCCATGGTAACACCTGCACCCTCCAGTCAAGGGGACTGGTGACTGGGAGACTGCAGAAATGGGGATGTGTAGAAGAACGAAGCCAGGTTTAGCAAAACAGAAGCAATCCAGGTCCCACAGACCCAAAGAAGAGCAGGAGGAAGCAAACCCTGAACTTTTCCAAGCAGCAAAATCAGCAGGAAAAAAAATGTTTTCATTTTCTGCTTTAAATATTGGGGCTGTAAGAACGCATGAATGAATCAGTGAACTGCAGAGAGACTCATTGATGCCTGTCTTTGAAGAGGGGGCCTGAGAGAATGCAGTAAACCAAGGTCACAGCTTGGACCCCCATGAGGGGAGGAATCACATCAAGGGAAGATGGACAAGTTTCGGATGATCTTCCAGTTCCTCCAGTCCAACCAGGAGTCCTTCATGAACGGTGTCTGTGGGATCATGGCCCTCGCCAGCGCCCAGATGTACTCAGCCTTTGATTTCAATTGCCCGTGCCTGCCACACTACAACCTGGCCTATGGGCTGGGCATCCTCCTGGTGCCCCCTTTCATCTTGTTCCTGCTGGGCTTCGTGCTGAACAACAACATCTCCATGCTGGCAGAGGAGTGGAGGCGGCCCCGGGGCCGGCGAGGGAAGGACCCGGCCGTCTTGCGCTACATGTTCTGCTCCATGGCGCAGCGGGCCATGATCGCCCCGGTGGTCTGGGTCTCGGTGACGCTGCTGGATGGCAAGTGCATCACCTGCGCCTTCTGCACCTCAGTGCCTGTGAACACCCTGGGCAACGCCAGCCATCCCGGCCTTTCCCAAAGGGAGATGAAGCGAGTCCTGGCCCGCATCCCCTGCAAGGAGATCTACGATGGACAGGAGCTCATCGCCAACGAAGTGGCCATCAGGTACCTGCGCTGCATCTCACAGGTAAGAGGCAACGTGGCTGTGCCCTTGCTGGTGGCTTGGGGTTAGGCACTGTCAGGGTTAGCTCTTCCCTTGAGGGAACCTCCTTGTTGAAATTAAGCTGCAGGAGGAGAGACTGGTGATTTCGCAGGGGTACGAGGTGTTCAGACTCAGCTCTGGGGAGTTAGGCCTCCAGTGTGGTGCAGAGACCAGAGCTGTACGTTGTCCTGATAATTCAGTCCCCCCTCCTGCCTGGGCAGCCTGGGGCTGCAGGGCAGAGATACACAGTCAAGCGGTATGCAGGGATTCATTTAAAGCGAGTTCAGAAGGGGCTGATGTGGACGTTACTCGGTGGCTGGGGGGCTGTCACCCTCTCCCGTAACCCACCGATTGCCCACAATTGCTCTGGCTGCTTAGTATAACGTGAGTGATGGGCTGATAACCATCTATGCCACCTGCCTGCCTCTGCATGGAAACAGCCAGTGCATGTTTATTAACCAGTCTGGGAAGCCACAAATGAAGAAATGCCACCAATCGCTTGTCCTGTGCTTAATTCCTCTCAAGCCCTCTGCTTCTGGCCACCTTGGAGGCAGGATGCTCTGACCCACTGTAGTCTCTCTTGTACTCCTGTTTAAAAGCAGCTCCTCTCCCAGACTTCCTTAGGGCAGACAGGAATTACTATCCCCAGTTTAAGAGAAACAGAGGCAAAGGGGCTTCTCCAAAGGCACAAAGTAGATTTTCCTGGGTAGACCCCAATTACCAGATGCGGGGAAGCACTGGGAGCTGCAAAACAAGAGGTGCTGTCTATACAGCCCCCTCCCAGGTGCTCTTTTAGGGGGCTGCATTCACAGTTGGGATCACCCTCCCAAGCTCTGCCTGCGGCAGCTTGAGCTAAGACCAATGGTGAACAGGACAGACCAGTCCCAGCTCTGCCACATCTCTCCCTTCCTGTCAGACCCCATTAACAAGGGAGTTTGTTGCTGCTGCTCACTCACAATAGATGTTACTAAGTCCAACAGCTTGGGAAAAGGGTTAGACAGCTGCATAAATCCAGGGAGTATCTGAAACAACATTAGCTGCGAGCCAGAGGACACAGACTGTCCTAGACCCAGGTGAGGCATGGCTGTATGAGGCAGGACCAAGGGCTGGGTGCAGGATTTGGTCTGGTGTTATTCATGGTCACTGCCTGCTGATGCCATACGCAGTGAGAAGTGAAGAAGTGCTGCCTAAGTGGGGGCATCAAACAAAATTTCAGTGTAGGTGCACTTACATGGTACGTAGGGTCTCCTTGTCCAGCATTTGTGAAGTAAAGGCAGGCAAATATCAAACAGCCCAAAGTGGAACCAGTCTCACTCACAGCCCAGGGGCATCCTGCCAGCTGGTGGGACACGCTGGGACCATGCTCTGCCTGCCTGTGACAGGTCTGGTTCCTCCCTCATCCCTGCAGGCTCTGGGCTGGTGCTTTGTGCTGCTGATGACCACACTGGCTTTCCTGGTCAGATCCCTCCGGCCCTGCTTCACCCAAGCTGCCTTCCTGAAGAGCAGGTACTGGTCCCACTACATCGACATCGAGCGCAAGCTGTTCGACGAGACATGCGCGGAGCACGCCAGGAGCTTTGCCAAGGTCTGCATCCAGCAGTTCTTCGAGGGCATGAGCACGGACCTGGCAGCCTCTCGCTGCCACCCGCCCAGGAAAGCCCCTGCTGATGAGGGGGAAGCTGCCGAAAAGCTCCTGGGCATCACTGACCGGGGCACCATGAACACGGCCCTGAAGAGCTGGCACAGATGCAAGCCCCCACTGCACCTTCACCCGCCTGCCTGCCCTAGTGGCAACAGCTGGGCAGGGGAAGGACACCCCCCCAAACACCTCCCTGCACACCCAAACACACAGCCTCCTGCACAACCCCCTGCCCGAAGGGAGGTGGCTGCCTACTACAGTCGGGTGTGAGGGGGCACAGGGCTATGCACTGGCAGAGCCGTGCTTCTGAGAGAGGGGTTGCAGAGAGGGCGGGCAGGTGGGTGTCCAAGCCAGGCCAGCACCACGGGGGCTGCAGAGGGACAGGCACCACTCGGCAGTGCCGGTGTGATCCCATCTGCTCACACATCCAATCCTACAGCACTGGTAACTCAGGCAAGTTTTGTGCTGAGCAGGGCAGCTATCCAAGGCCACGATGGGCAAGCCTCAGGGATGCTGAAGGGCACGATGCATCAGCCAGATGGACGTGCTGAGCATCCTGCACCACCAAGCACCAGGTTTGTGTTGCAGCGGTTGCCAAGATAGACACTACCAGATGTGCAAAACTTACTTCCTTTCACCACGTGCCCAGCACTGGGCAGCACACGCGGGTTTAGGCAGTATTAAAAATCCCTTGGTGGGGAAACAGGCTGGGGTGCCCCTTTTTCACGCCAAGCTGTGAAATCCCAAAAGCCTCCCCATTCCCCTTTCCACACTACATCCCCACAGACACACACAGCTTCCAGGCCATGAGAAGCTTTAAAATAAATTTTACCCAAGCAATAAGCTAGCGAAGAGGCATCCCATGCTGCATTACATTTGATGTGAACAGTGTGGTTGGGTGTCACAGGTACTGTTCTGGGAGGAGCCCAAAGAGATTCTCCTTGAAGTGGTGTCTAAACAAGGAGAGCTGCTGCCGCTCAGCAGCGCAGAGGGTGGGGGCAAAACCAATCCCCCCCCACAAATTTACTGCAGAACAGTTTGTTCTTGCAATTTTACCTGGATTCCTTCATGACACAAAGACTGATGTTAAAAACCTGCCTGGGTGTTTGTTTAAGGAGCCAAATAAATAATTCATGTTTCCTGTTCAAGTTCTGTGCTCAGGTACAAGGTTTTATAAATACCATTTACAAAAGCTGTTGGTGTTTCTTTATTTGAATGCAATGAAAAAGACTGGGGAGCCTCCGGGCCAAGCTTTGGGTGCTGAGGCTGTGCGAATTGGGGCGTTTGGGGGCATTTTGTCACTGCACAGTGGCCAGCAGCAAGCCAGCCTTGGCCCTCAGAGAAGAAGCAAGGGAGGCACCGCTGACCCTACTCAATACCAGGTGGCTGCCCATTTCCATAGACACTGAGGATGTCGGGATGGAGGCCCTCAGGATGACTATGGAAATTGCAGCGCAGAAGAGCGTTCCCCAGTGGCCCTGATTTTATTACCAATATGCAGAACGAAAACCCCTTTTGAAAGGCAAATTTTACTCCCGCCTAATCCCTTTTGAAATGCTCATCCCCTTGAAATTTCTGCTGCCACGTTCTTGTTCAACTTAGTATGGCTGGCTGGTAATTGAGGTGACTGTCGTTTGCATAAGCCTTAATTATCGGTGTGTAACTCCACAGAGGCTCTGCGGAGAGGAGAACAAAGGCCCAAAATGACGAGCTGCTGTGAGAGAGCCTTAGCAAGCCCGTAGTTAAGGGCAGGCTGAATCTGGCTGACTTCCAGGAGAAAGGAGAGTGACACAGATTTATCATTAATCTTCACACGCCAAACTTTAATTAAGGCATCTACCCAGAAATTAATAGGCACAAAACCTGATTTACAGAGCAAAGGAGATTAAAAGATAAAGGCAGTTTCCACTCCTATTGTTTGCAGCTCAGCACTGTTAATGGCTCACCAAGAAAGGAGCGCTCAGAGTCCCAACAACATTGAGCAGAACTGGTGGGCTTCACAGCAGAGTTATTAAGTTACCAAAAAGCCAGCATGCATTTGCAAAGAGAAGCTTTTGCACCTCTAATTTAGATTTTCTTAGGATCAGAGCCCTGCCCCCATGCAGCAATTTCAGCAGGCAGGGCGTCCGCTCTTTCCTGGATCTTGAGGACATTGCTCATGGCCTTCAGGAGGAGACCTCTCATTAGGGGAACCTGACACAGCCCCCATGATTTCAGCTGGGCCGTGATCCAGGTGCTGATCCAGGTTCACAGCAGCGCCCTGAGAACAGAGGGAGCCCTGGGGGCCCTGGCCGAGCTGGCAGGCGCTGGGTGGGAGGAGAGGAGGCCCCAGACAGGCACTGAGGTGTGGGAGCGCTAAGGGGTGCACCACACCCAGACACCTGGGAGCTGCAAAAAACTGCCTGGGGACCCCGGATCTGCAGGTAAGAAGGGGGACTGAGTCCAAAAATCCCGGCTGAACTGCTGACCATCGGCTGAGCTTAGCTTTACTCTGGGAACGTGGGTGTTGCTGAAGATTTGTCTGTGCTGAAGACATCCTCTGGGGAGGGCTGTTTAAACCCGGGGATGAGAAGGCTGGGGAAGGAGGACGAGGGCCTCTGGCCTCTGCAAGAGGCTCGGCGGGAGCCGCTGGGCAGACGGGAGA